GGACCTAAGAGGCAGATTTTTCGGTGTTGAAAAACTTTGTACTACATGTCTAGTCTATGTGTTGTTTGGTCAGTGTCTCTGGTTAGTGTCTATACATTTAATTTTTTCTTGAATATACTAGTTTGAATACATTTTCCATATTCAAAAAGTATCGATAAATTAAGCTCACATCACGAAACCAAGAACATTTGAATGCAGTTCACTGGAAACGATTCAACGAAGCTGACAAACAAAACAAAATCATCTTAGTTTTTGTTGTTTGTTGATTTTAGTAAAATTACTTGTAATTAATATTAAAGACGAAAAAACATGTTGCGTCGAACACTGCCGTCCTGCGCACGACCTTCTCTACTATGCCGGCATATGTCTGTAGTAGCTAAATCACTCAAGTACACACAACACGGCGAACCGCAGGATGTGCTAAAACTGGTCGAGGATAAACTCTCTGATCCTACAGACAAGCAAGTTTTAGTCCAAATTCTGGCAGCACCCATTAATCCCGCTGACATTAACACTATACAGGGTAGGTTTATATGGTTTAAAATTTCCACTGATGCATATACAATATACATCTTATATAAACAAATTTATGAACTGCAGGCAAATATCCGGTGAAGCCAAAGTTTCCAGCTATAGCCGGCAATGAATTTGTGGGCAAGGTTGTTTGTGTGGGCGAGCAGGTGACGAGCCTGCAACCTGGGACACATGTGGTGCCGCTGGCTTCCGGCCTGGGCACCTGGACGACTCACGCCGTCTACAAAGAAGAGCATTTGCTTGGCATTTCCAATAAAGTCGGCCTGGCAGAGGCGGCGACCATCACTGTGAATCCCTGCACCGCCTATCGCATGCTCAAGGACTTTGTGAAACTATCGCCTGGCGATACCGTCATACAAAATGGTGCCAACAGTGCCGTAGGTCAAGCTGTGCATCAGCTCTGTCGCGCCTGGGGCATCAACAGCGTGGGCATTGTGCGCAATCGTCCAGAGATTGATGAACTAAAGAAACTGTTGCACAGTCTAGGCGCCACCGCTGTGCTGACTGAGGAAGAGATTCGCACCAGCGACATATTCAAGACGGGCAAAATGAAGCGTCCCCAGCTGGCTCTCAACTGTGTGGGCGGCAAGAGTGCCACAGAGGTATCGCGTCACTTGAACGATCGCGGCGTTATGGTCACCTATGGAGGCATGTCTCGGGAGCCAGTGACCGTTGCCACGGGACCACTTATCTTTAAGGACATTGCATTCCGAGGCTTCTGGATGACGCGCTGGTCCAAGGAGAACTACAATGCACCGGAGCGCAAACAAATGTTTCAGGAGCTTTGCAAGCTGATGGAGGACGGCAAGTTCGTGGCGCCTACGCACGAGATGGTTCCGCTGGAGAAGTTTAAGGATGCAGCTGCTGCAGCGCTAAACTTTAAGGGCTTCACTGGCAAGAAATTCATATTAGACATGAGTAAATGTTAATTAATTTTTAGTTGTGGACAAACAACTATATGAGTGCTTTTATTATGGAATTATACTTTCCAATATGTTGTTAAAATACGATTTGGTATGTTTTTTTTTAAAGGATTTTATTTTAAATATCGATGCTATCGATTGTGAATTTTATTTGAAGAAACCTGTTGCTTAAAGCTGTAACTCCATCGATAGTGGCTCCACGCGATGGTTTCAGCCATCAATACAAACAGAATTACTGTTGCGCGCAGGTCGACTTAAATATTGTATATTCAGTATATAGTTTATAACATTTCAACCTCATTGGCTTGATATTTGAGCTGCAACGTCATCGCTGTCGGCGATGTGGCATCTGTGATTGTCAACTGCTGTCCATCCTGCAGGCCCAGCTCGCCCAGCGACTGCGTCAGATTCTTACGTGTAGCCTCCTCGATACTTTTCACATTGGCCATGTAGAGAGTGCGTTGCTTGCCATCTGCCATGATGGTGGTAAGAGCTGGGCTCTTGAGCTGGAAACGCGGCAGTTCGCAAAGCTGCTTGATGACATCCTCCAGGGTTGTCGTATTGGGATCCTCGATATTCAGCAATTGCGGCATATTGCTGCAGGCCAAACAGTTATCCGACTTCTCCGCCTCATAGGTGTAGGAGTAAATGCCATCCAAATCGTTGAAGTTAAAGTAGTTGGCCATGCTATCATAGCAGCTAGTGGCTAGCTTAAACACCTCCAGGGCACAGGCAGCGGCTATAACCGCATTGGTGCTGGCCACTGCCGGGATAATGTGTTTGATGACGCCCTGGACCAGTCGGTAGGTGATGCCGGTTATATTGAACTGATTGGCGCGCTCCTGGGCGCGCTCATATATCCAACCAATGTGCTGTGGATCATCCCCATCCAGCGGGGCATTGAAGGGATTCTCCTTGTCCCATTGTATGATCTTTACGTATTCTATGCAATGTTCTGGCAGACGAGGCGTATTGGCGATCGTGCACAGTGGATAGTTTACCTGTGGCGGGAAGAGGTCCAAGGTGCATTCGATGCAGGCTGTATAGCCGGGCAATATGACGCGGGCATTGCCTTTGAATCCTTCAGTGCCACCATCAATCATTGGTATTATCGAGGAGACGTCCAGGCTATTGTCCTCTTCGTATCGCAGCATGGAGAGCAACATACCATTGATCCAGCGGCGTGCCACAATCGAGTCCAAGCCGCAAACAATAATGTGAAACTGCTGGTAGAATGACTCGTCAAAGTCCTGTATCTTGGCAAAGTGAGGCGTCACCTTGCATGTGGGCACGCGATTGTTGATAAAACGCGCGGCGCATTCTGCCTTGGATGAACCGAGATCTGTGCGACGGAACAGAAACTGTCGATTCAGATTGGACAGTTCAATGGTATCCATGTCAATTACATGCAAATCACCAAAGCCCATCAATGCCAAGTCTTTAAGGAGCTCGCAGCCCAAGCCGCCGGCTCCAATGACTAGCACTTTGCATTTTGTTTGTAGGAATTCCAGATTATCCGATGATGGAGTAAAGTCATCCTTGCAAAATAGACCCTCACGTTCCAAGACATTCCGCAGACCGTTCCAGCGTTTATTTTGCAATGCAAGAGCAGGATTAGATGGCGAGGCGACCGACATATTTACAGATTGCTGAATTGCCAAAAGCGGCAAAATAATTGTATTTAGTATGAACAATCGGACTAAAAACGATAATTAAATACAAAAATAAGTGATGGTACTCTGGAGCACTAACTCTAGTGTCTGGAGTTAGGAATAATAATTAAAATTCTTTAGAATCAATATTATCTGGCTATACAGTGTCACTATATTTTAGATCATTTAATAATAAATTAACCAAACAAGTTTATATTTATTCTTAGGATATGCGAATAGTTTATATTGTATTAATCGAATATTATATCGATAAGTAATCTTTTACGATAGTGGGCATATCGCTTACTGCACATATCTACATCGAAATTTGAAACAACGGCACTTCATCGAAAAGAGTCGCGTCCTTTGCAGCGTGCTTCCTCTTTGCTGTACTTCTTGTTGTAAATAAGATCAAATTAACAAGAATTGGAGAAATAAGAGTGAAAGTGGACTATTTAAGTATTTAAAAACACTGCAGCATATAATATATACTCTTAAATTGCTGCAGTCGAATTGGCGCGCTCCCAACCAAAATGACGCTCTCCGTGCTGGCGTCGTTTGACGATCTGCGACGCTGTATGCAGGTGCTGACCGAAGGCACAGCCGAGGAGGGTGAGTTGACGTGACAGAAACTAAAAGTAAAAGAGAAAGTTGTTAAAATCGAGTTCCTTTATATTCCCTCAGAATTCCTCAGTTTTCTGCGCTTGTTTGAACAGTACCACGAGAAATGCAACGGCTTCGCCACTCAAAATGCGCGCCTTCAAACGGAACTGGACAAATCTCTGGCCAAAATGGGCGACCTGGAGGGCAAACTGTATCACGCGCGTCGTATAATTGACACGGAGATCAAAGCGCGCAGACAGGCGGAGCACGAGCGCGATGCCATGGAAAGTAAGATAATGGCTGTAGCTGATTTGCTGCGCCACGAACGCAATTTGAACAATGAGACGCGCGATAAGCTGGCGTTCCTAAATTCTATGCATCCGGAGTCGACGCGCAAACGTAAATCCCTAAATACATTGCATGAGGACAAGTCGTATGGCGACATAAACTCCACGGGCTCTTTGCTCTCCGATTTATCTATCACGCATTCCGAGGACGACTTCCTCGATGTGCGACGCTCCAAGTCATGGCGCGAACACCGTCCTTCGTTGCCCAAAAATCCAGTGCCATGTGTGGGCAACAAGCGTTCCCGTCTGAGCACTGGTCACAACAGCAGCAATTTGGGCACACCGACAGTTGGCACCGCCACCACGACCTCCACCACAACAACGCGTCGTTCGGGACATGTGGATCACCACACACTGGACGTCGGCCAGGGCGCAGAGCGCTTTTGCGCCACCACGAAGGTTACCATACCGCAGGATGGTCAGGGTGTCATACGTGCCGAATCGACCATTGAGTCGCTGCCTATGATTGTGACTCAGGACCGCAATGCCGATGCTCAGTCAACCTCAACGCCGCGACGTCGTTCAGCCGTCAAGGAACCCACGGCGCCGCCACTAACGCCCCTCAATGCCATGGCCATGGGCATGTCGCCGGCACAGCAGAACCGTCTGATGATGCGAAAGCACAGCTTCAGCCAGAAGACCTTCTTGCGCGGCGACAACTGTGTCCAATGCCAGAAGCGGTACGGTTCACCTCTCAGTTACATATATATTTAACGAAACTAATATGTATTCATTCATTGTCTTGCAGTATTCGCTTCGGTTCACTTGGATTGCGCTGTCGCGACTGTCCGGTGCGCTGTCACATCGACTGTCGTCATTTGCTCACAGTCAGCTGTGTGCCGCAGTCGGGCACGCCCACCACAAAGACGGAGCTGCATTACCTCAGCGATTTTGCACCAGCGACTCCGCCCATGATACCCGCACTGATCGTGCACTGTGTGAATGAGATTGAGGCGCGTGGACTGGGTGAGGTTGGCCTCTACCGCATGTCGTCCTCGGAGCGTGAATATAAGGCACTGAAGGAGCAATTCTTGCGTGGCAAGGTTACGCCGCATCTGGGCAACACAGACATCTATGTGCTCTGCTGCTGCGTAAAGGACTTTTTGCGCACCTTGCGCGAACCGCTAATACCCACCAGTCAGTGGAAGGACTTTGCCAATGCTGTACAAAATCCTGATAACAAGCTGGCCGAACAGGCGCTCTGTAAGGCGGTGGAGCAACTACCTCCCGCGAATCGCGACACCATGGCATTCCTAATGCTGCACTTCCAGCGCATAGCCGAATGTCCGATCGTGATGATGCCCATCGATAATATGTCCAAGATATTCGGGCCCACTATTATGGGCTACTCATCTCCAAATCCGGATCAGCATGCGCTCTACACAGAGGTCTTTACGCAAACGCAAGTAATGAAGGCGCTGTTAGAACTACCCGGCACGTTTTGGCAGCAATATCTTCCCTTGGAGCCGTCGCCAACAATGGTTCCCCCGAGCAGCGCCGTCAAGCGCGTACCCAGCAACACCCGAGATCTTTTCTCGCTATATGGTATTGACTGAATGGCATTTAAATGTATACGATTTAATATTAATAGTATTATTTCTTGTTTCATCAGCTACCCCACTGAAGGGCACCATGAAGAAAAGAAAATGCAACGCCACGCCCCCAATGTCTGCGCATAAGAAGTAAAAGGACCAGAGCATCCTCCGTCCGTTAGATACTACATCTGATGCATCGCTGGCGTGTTTACTTAATCACAAGTATTTCAATTTTTTCCATTTGTTTGCACTGAATAAGTGTGTTTATAGTTTTATATTACTGCTCTTAAAAAGTAATTATATTTCCTTGATTATCTAATAATTTGAACTACAAAATCTCTTAACAATATATTGAATATTACATTGTATAATACAAATAAACATTGCACAAATTATTAACCTGCCTAATCGGTGTATCGAAAATTGAATTCTTTTTGAGAATTGTCAACCTTAATTAATTCATTATTTTTTATTTCATAATTCGATCGAAATATGTAAAAGTGGAGGACTATTATAATTAAATTGCGTTCGTTATAAACAATTTTCAATGTTAAACATAAATATATTGCAAATTTAAATATTTGAAAATTAACAGCTCAGTCAAGTTGTAAGCCACAAAGTATCGAGTACAAATTTACCTGAACAATATCGCCACAATATATCGATAGCCACAAATTATGTTTTAATTGAAATATCAAAACAAAACATTTACTTATAAAGGCTCCAGGTATTTCTTTCAATTGTCAAAGATTAAACAAATGTGTGGTTACACCTTAACTCGTTTATAAATTGTATCAAGAGCTACAACATTATTAGTGCTATTTAGCCTAATCAGGCCATTGTAAGCCTAAGATGGACAGACATCCATACATGTGTCGTATTTATTCTGTGGATAGTGGTATTTACGAGAAGACTGGAACGAATTTCGATTATTTCTGCGTGAGTTCTAAGCCCATCGCCGCTTTCCAGTCCGCAGAAAGCATCGCACGATCGCTACATACGACACACTCCTGTTCCAGCATTCACACCGTAAGTATCATATAGTGAGATCTACATATATTCACTGATCATAGCAAATAAACTTTGTTATATGCAAAACAGGTGTTAAAATGGCCAACATTGCAAAACTGTTTACTGTGCGTGCACAAACTTTGGTCCAGGCCGCCGCCCGTCAGCCACAAGTGGCGGTTCGTTTCAGTAGCACCTGTGAGTATATTCCACCCACAAAGTCAGATGAAGTACAAAGTCCACGTTGTCAGAACCTGTTAATTAGAACTATGGCCCATCTATTTCATTGCCCACTACTTTCCATAAGCTGTGGACAAGAAAAAAAAAAAAAAAAACAATGATTACGTAACTTGTCTGATATCAATTGGTTTGCCTTCTCTTTCACTCTGCAGCTGCTAACTGGGAATTCATTAAGACCGAAGTGACGGGAGAGAAGAAAAATGTTGCTGTTATCACGTTGAACCGCCCCAAGGCATTGAATGCTTTGTGCAACGGTCTCATGAAGGAGCTGTCCACAGCCCTGAAGGGATACGGCAAGGACAGCAACATCGCCGCCATTGTTTTGACTGGCAGCGAGAAGGCCTTTGCCGCTGGCGCTGACATCAAGGAAATGGCACCCAACACATACTCGCAGTGCATTCAAGGCAACTTCCTGAACGACTGGACTGAGGTGGCCCGCACCCAGAAGCCAATCATTGCGGCTGTCAATGGTTACGCCCTTGGCGGTGGCTGCGAGCTGGCCATGATGTGTGACATCATCTATGCCGGCGAGAAGGCCAAGTTTGGTCAGCCAGAAATCGCATTGGGCACCATTCCCGGAGCAGGTGGCACTCAGCGCTTGACCCGCGTGGTGGGCAAGTCAAAGGCCATGGAAATGTGCCTCACCGGCAACATGATAAACGCCCAAGAGGCTGAGAAGGTCGGTCTGGTCAGCAAGGTTGTGCCAGCCGATCAACTGGTCAGCGAGGCCATCAAGCTCGGCGAGAAAATCGGCACACACTCCAGTCTGATTGTGCAACTGTGCAAGGAGGCAGTCAATACTGCCTACGAAACCACTCTGCAAGAGGGCCTCAAGTTTGAGCGTCGCACCTTCCATGCCACATTCTCGACGGTAAGCGGACAGACTGATTGCGTAACACTTGAAATTTAATATAAACATTTGTTTTTTTCCGTTTCCATTCATAGGCTGATCGTAAAGAGGGCATGCAAGCCTTCGTCGAGAAACGCCCGGCCAACTTCAAGAACGAATAGATGGGAGAATTCAGATTATCCAATTAAAAGCCAGTAATGCATTTATAAAGTCGATCCTGTTGTTTATACGCAAATAAAATACACGTTAAATAATTTTAAAAACAGATTATATGCAATATAAGCAATATATATAAATATACATTTATACATACACATTTGTATATATTACTTATGCTATACATATTCATATACATATACATATACACTTGGTAAGGACGAATTGGTCGATTGTCAGTTGAGCTATGACCACATTTATAATGTGCTCACAGATCAACTGTCAGCCAACCAATACTATCCAAAGTCTATATATATGTGTATATATAATATTTATACATTCACGAACAGATTATATGACTACAATGATTGTGCGAGCATTTATTCCCGCACTGAGTTAGCCCCTTGCTTTCCCGTTCGTTGCGTCGTATAATGAAACGATAGTAGTTCCTTAGCTGTATTTTGTTCCATGCGGCCTTCATCTCTCTGATGAGCGGCGGGTCGTCTTCCGCCCTGCTCAGGTCAAAAGTCTGGCAGTTCTCACATGGACGCTTCGCGGTCTCTAAATCTGGCCACTCTGCTGTCGGCGGCGGCGGCGTCGGCAGCGGCTTTCTGCAGTAACGTCGCACGAAAATTGGCTTCGTACTCTCGGGAACATATATTTTTTCCAGCTTTGTGGATATTTCGAATCTCTTGTTTCTCTTGACTGGTTTCTTGATTCGATCGTTTGATCGTTTGGTTGGCCAAGACTTCGTTTGGGCCTCAAGCACAAAGTTGCGGGGTGTTTTCTTCGCCGGCAAATCGTCGCGACTTTCAACGATTTTCAGCAGTTCTCTTATATGAGATTCTAGCTGCGAACGACTCTTTTCGTAGTTTTGTTTGTGCTTAGCTTGAGGGACATGGAAGCGTGACTCTTCTGTCGAATTTACAGGCTCGTTCGTCGCATTAATAGGCTCGTCCTGGAGGCTCCCTTTCATACATTTACTTCTGCTTCTGCTCTTGTTTAAATGCCGGTTAAATTGGGAGAGATTTCGAAATTCGTAAGCACCTGGTACACCAACATTCAAAGTTTTCATCTTGGGTACGGAGGATACTTTAATTGATCCTTCGTCTCCAATGTTTGGAAGTGGTCCATAGAGTGAAATAGCGTATTTTGGCTCATGCACAAGCTTAGCCGTACTTCTACTAGCATTGGAAAGGACCATCGACTTTAATGACCCACTGATGGCAAGCGAAAGACCACTGATTGCATTCGAGGGCAGTCCACTTGTATCGTTATCGTAAGCTTTCAGTTTCTTTAAATACTCCTTGTATCTGAGCTGATCTCTAAGTTTTATCTCATGCATTGAAGTCTGCTGTTTCGTTTCGTTTAACTGGACTTGATTGGTTTTATCTGTCTTCTTCTTCTTACCCATTTTATTGACCTCTTTTATTGGCAGTTTAGTAGCTACATCATCGACATTCTTCTCTCGAATTTCATGTCTATTACTGGTCGCCTTTATAGGGTCCATCTGTGGCAGCTCAGTAGTCGCATCCTCGACATTCATTTCATTTGTCTTATCTGCCTTTTTCATCGCAGAATTTGCTGCCTCCAATTTAGCTAACCTTCTTAAATGATTTAACTTCCTGAGCAACTCCTGGTCCGTAAAGTTCAAACTATTTCCATACATTCTTTGCATTATATTGGTCTTCTTCTTTGGTCTCTTAGGAGCCGCATCATTTAATTTTCTTTTATGCTTTTCATTGGTCTCCTTTTTGGGGTGGTTTTCTGGCACCTTAATAGCTGCATTATCTAAATTATTTAGTTTTATTTTATGACTTTTATTGGTCTTCCTTACGAGAAAGTTTCTTGCCGCCTGTGCTGCTAACTTATTCAAATGATTTTTCTTTCGTTCCTTCATTTTATTATTCTGCTTTATTGGAAAACCTTTTGGAGTCTGAGAAGCCGGTTGGCTTAAATTTGTTTTCTTCGGTCTATGCTTTTTCTTAGGCCCTTTGGTTAGAAGTACTGCTATATCTAAATGAAATAGTTTATGCTTACTTTTCTTCTTATTTTTATTGGATGATGGAACATTATGAGTTGGTTTCCTCGGCTCAACTGAGCTTTTATCCTGCGACAAATTTTGTAACTTGGGTTGAATGTTCTTCGCTTTGTGTCTATTTTTCTTAATATTTATCGTATTTGATTTTGATTCAATCATAAACTTTATCTTCGTTTTCGTACTTTGACTTGTTTTAGAACTAGATTGCTTGATTTTTGCTTGTACCTCGGTACTTGCCGAATTATCCTTATCCTTATTATTTTTTTTCTTCATATTCATGCCCTCCTTCTGTTTATTATGAAAAACTTCTGTAGGCTTCGGCGTCGGCGTCGGCATCGGCGTCGACTTTGTCTTCGTCTTCAGATTCTTTTTGTCTTTATTTGACCTTGGAAAAGTTTGCGAATCGCATAGCTTTAAAAGTTTTAGTTCTTCTAGATTGGCCTTTTTTTTTCTCTGGTTTGAATTACGTTGATAATGTTTATATTCAGCTTCTTTATCTCTTAATTGCCTAACTTTGTAGATTGAAAAAGGCTTATAGTATAAACGTTCTGGCTTATTTGCTTTCATTTGCCGTAGTTCTCTCACGATATTTTTGAATTTTCCATGTTTTGAATTTGAGCTGGAGCTTGACTTCGAATCCTCAGTTTTATCTTGTGAAGTATGCTTCGAGAAAGGCTGTAAATTTTTCTTCTTATATGCAAAATTATCATCAACATTTGGACTTTTGCCGATTTTCGTTGCTTTGTTTTGCTTTGAGAAGGGCGGAATAATTCGGTATGCTCGTTGTATCTCTTTTTTCTTATCCATATATTTTTCACCCTCTGTTTGCGAACCTTGTTGATCAAGTGGTATAAGATTGAGAGATTTGACATAGTTGTACACCTGCTTGACGTCATTTTTTTTTAATTTTCGCTGTTGTGGCCCTTTCAGCCAGCTGGGCAGAACAGGTCTTGAAGTGTTGCTTAAATTGCAGGTATATTTATTATAGTATGGAGTTGCAATCGGATCTAATGGCACAGTTTCCAAGCAACTGAAGACCAGTTCGCCCAACCAATTTCGCTGATGGTGCGCAGAACCGGAAGGAGAATGATGAGATTCCTTTGCTCCCTTTTTCTTTAACTTTTGGCATAAAAACGGGCAATGCATTGACAATAAATTTTATACACTTGGAATTTTATTAATACAGAAATTGAAAGAGTTAAAACTCATAAGTAACTCTGCCAAATTGATGAATAATTTGGAGCGCCAATTCGCATTTGAATTGACCAGTGCTGCAAAATGTTAATTAGTTTGCTTGTAGTATTCGAGTAGCAGCTGAATACCGATAGTTTAGAATCTATCGATAAAGGCGCCACACTTAGCGTTTAGCAGTTAGATTAACTCACCCACACACACAAGCACACGCACGCACACACACAAGCCCATTGCACATAATCACACTGAGAGCGAATACAGGACGTTACAGTCAGTTTACTGTTAGTCCTGCGCGTTGGCCGTTGTGTGAGAAAAGTAAAAGTGAAAATCGGGCCCTTGAATTTCGTGTGGAATATTTATTAATTATGCATGATAAATAAAATCTAATTTGTCTGCGTGTCGTTCGTTTGTGTGAATTTCAAATAACAGTTGCGATTCTTTGCGGCTTTGGCGCGCGCGTGTGACTCAAAAGCCAGGAATACGTGAGCACAGCCATAACCATTGCCATACAGCGCTGAGTTATTTCCATTGTGCTGTAATCTATAATTGCATACACACACACACACACTCATACTCAGCTAGTGTGTATACGGACAGTCGCACATATACTAGCAAACGCCACGACCAAGACGCCCCCGCTTTGCCCTTGAGCTGGCATAGTAAGAAGCATTCGATTTTTCACAACAAGACGTGAAAAACGCAAAAAAAAAGAAGAAGGAAATACTTACGACTGAATAAAGTTTGCGCAGCTTTCGAAAAAGAAAAAGAAAATTATATATAAATTTACAAATTTACACTTAGAAATATCCATATACATATTTATATATAAAAGCAAGTGTTAGGCGTTCGAAATGGATGTGCTCAATCAAATACTCAACATTAATGCTGGTGGCGCCTATGGCGGTGGCAAGGCGGGTGGCGCCTTCGATCCGGTAACGTTTGCCATGAAGCCTCAAGTAGTCATACGCGCCCTCTGCTGGGTAAGTTAAATAAAGCTCACGCACACAAACACACACACACACACACACACACACACATGTGTGTGTACGCAGGATATAAGCGAGGTTGCTTTGTAAAGTTATGCAGAGAATCCCAAATGGCATAGAATTTTAACTACCAGTAAAAGCAAATTTTTATTTGCAGTTCCTTTTTAAAAATGCGATCAATTTAAATTTATATGCATAAACACACACACATATATATAATATGTGTTTCATATATATTTTTTCTCATGGGAATTGATTAAAATTTAATTTTGTTTGCAAGTCAATAGAATTGAAACAATTAACAATGACGAGAGACACAGCTGTGCAACTGGCACTAAAAGTCGCACGACTATGAAAATTTGAAATAAAGGCCATCAATGGCCAACAACAACAATAGCCATGTGTAATGGCCAGCGTGTGCGTCATAGCGGCCATTGGCAACTGAGGATAGAACAGTTAATAGTCATTTAGAAGCATGAGTTTGCTTTCGTTTACATTTAATAGCAATTTGTGCTGACAGAGGCTTACACACACACTCACACACACACTTGTAAGCTACATTTATACAAGAATAACACAAAACAAGACAGTTGTGGACGGGTGGTGGGGGGCTTCTGTCAGTTGGCCAAGTTTAGCCAAGGACCTGCTTTGTTATTGCAGTTGGCATTGCCTATCCCCAGGCGCTGCTTATGCTCGCTAAACTTGGCCTTCACTTGAAATTGGGTCACAAACCTAAATACGTATCTCTCTCTCTCTCTCTCTCTTTCTCTATCTCCTTACGTGTGTGTGTGAGTGTACTTGAACTTCTGGTTTATTGCACCTGCTCTTTAAAATCAATACAAATACATAAACATATATACATACATATGTATATTTCTTTACGCACTGTGCGTATCGGATCGTATTACAATCTTTCTTCAATAATAACAAATGTGACTTTTTTTTTGTGTGTTAACTCTTGTCAGGTGTTCTCTATCGTGGTCTTTGGCTGCATATCCTCCGAGGGCTGGGTCGAAAAGGATGGCAAGGAAATGTGCTTGTACAACAACGATGGCATGGCCTGCAAATATGGCAATACCATTGGCATCTTCGGATTTCTCGCCTCCATGTACTTCATTGGCGGCGAGTTCATGTTCGAGCGCATGTCTTCGGTGAAGAGCAGAAAGCGTTATGTTATGGGGGACATGGCATTCTCAGGTGCGTCCCACCATACTCTTTAAGATGTTTTAGTTGGTTTGGTAACATTTATATGTCTCCTTGTGCAGCTGCTTGGGCCTTCTTGTATTTCATTGCATTCTTCTACTTGTGGTCTCAGTGGAGCGCAGCACCCATGCCTCCCCAAGGCATTGGCGCCGGCAGCATGAAGACGGCCATTGTGTTTTGTTTCTTCAACATCTTTAGCTGGGTGAGTTGTGGCGTCACTTAACCAGTTGCTTGAACTAATCTCGTGTGCCAACTCCTGCAGGCTCTGTGCGCATTTATGGCCTACAAACGCTTCCTGATTGGCGCCGGCGATGAGTTCACCTCGGCCTTTGAGACAGACCCGGCCAATGTGGTGCACCAGCAGGCCTACAGCTACTCCATGGACAACGACAATGAGCAGTATAGCGCCTCGCCATTCGGTCAGCCTCAGCAGGGTAGGCTATATTCTGTATATTGATTATCATAGAATATTGTTAATCGAATAGCTTCTCTTTCAGGCATGGAGCAACAGTCGGGCATGGAGTATCAGCAACCCACCTACTAAGCGTATCTCTTAGCTAGTTGTGCCACGTCTCCGTTGTCGACACACACATTTTTTGGTAGTGCTAATGGCAAATACAATTTTTACACCAACTGCAACTATATATCTAGTACACAAAGTTGGCTTAACTTAATACACCGATGTCAAGCATATACGAACAACAACAACAACAACAACAAACAACAGCAGCAGCAACACCAATTGCTTTGGCAGGGAATAAGCGTAAGCAGAAAGCCCAACTGCTCAGTTAATCGCCCTATCCTTATACAGAATAATATTAATGATAATAATTTATAAGCTAGCCCCTAAGTTGTGTGTGTGCAGTTTTTGTAGTGAAAATTTGTTGCAATATATATATATACGTATATATACGACTATATACATATAATATTATGCTAAATACTGTATGTATGTATATCTATATATATATACATATGCATATATACAATTACTTATGCTTTAATCGTTGTTAGTTATTTAGTATTAACATTTCTTGTGCAAGACCCTGGCCCCTGCGTCCCGCTCAGCTTTGGATTTGGCTTCATAAGCGTATGCGAAAATGTTTTTAGACAAATTTACACGCGCCAGCAGTTAAACGATATAGTAATTGAACCCACACACTAGTTAACTAGCAGACATCAGAAGAGCTGCTCAAAACATATCCATTTTACAACCAAATCCAACCCGGAGAAGCATGCATGCGCATTTTTACACACTTAACTCTTTCTTCAGCTCTAGTCCTATTGAAAGCGCAGGAGCAGGAGCAGAAGCAGGACCTGTGGCCAGGGTTGCTTGAAACTTAGCGAATATAATTATATAAAAATATATATTAATATATATGAGAAAACAATAAAACACAACGCCAAAATGTAAAAAATTCTAAAATTGAATTACAGCTAAAATTTGTTAAATGGAAAATTCTATAACGGCTCCATGGGGTATTGCAAATATTTACAAATTTTACAAATCTGTTTGTCGAGTTTTTCAAATAGTGTTTGTGTGAGAAGTGAGCCCCAAAAAATAACTCACCCAACTAATATTTAGTAGGCAACAAGCTCTTAAATATCAGTATTTAACAAAAATGAAAATAACAATAAACTCAATTAGAAACAATCTCAAATAATTTAGTATTATTATTAGCAAAAACAAAAACAAGAATATTTAATTCATTTCGGGTTTTGCATCAATGTCAAAGAAAAGTGTGGAATATCAAATATACTAAATGAAAGTAATATTCAATATTTGTTTTTAATGACAAACTTATTATAATTGTAATTATTTATTAGAGAAATTTTTGAAAAAGTAAATATGAATTGAGAGCGCATTTTTGACCCCAGAGAATTGTTAACCCACATAAGAATTGTATAGTGCAATGGAAACAAATATATATTCACGCTATACAATTGGAAATTAATCAATATCAATGAATGTAAACATATTTCAATAATTAAACATAAATGTTTGTTTAGAGCAGCATCTAATTATGATACACTATGAGAGAGTTTGTTAAACAAAACAAAATATATATATTATATATTTATGTATTGTATATGTAACTTGTGTAAGCCAGCTGTATGTATATGTATGTTGTATGTGCAAACGGCTAAAGCAAAACTAATATAAATTAATAAAACACTTAAACAAAACAAGAAAGGAAAATAACCAAAAGCAGTTCATGTAAAACTCTATTAACAGCCAAAAACACGAAAAACAAAATCCAGACACTGATTCGCAGTAAAAATTTATATAAATTAATCATGTAGAAATCGTGAACGTTAAATAATTAAAACAAATTTATGCATTCGGACACAGGTTGAGAGAAAATACTATTAATAATGTCATATTATGTGTAATCGGTACAAAACGAGGCAAAAATATGAATGTACTTGTTTAAAAATCAGCGAACAATAATGTAATAAAACCAATCCCAACTAAAAACCAATGGAAAGCAAAATGAAACCATTCAATAAATTATGACACATATTTTTAAAAACCAATCTGATTTGTTACGTTTAACCATAAATCATGCTATGTATGTGAAGCACGTCTTAAATTTGGCCATCATGTTGACGTCTATTCAGAGGCATCATTTTACGGATTCGCATTGACTTGAGCATTCGAGCAGGAAATTTTGATAAGTTTGTCCTGCTGTCCCTGACTGATAGAGGTTATATCGTGCTCGTATGCTCATTGAAAATATATTCTTATCTTAATTAACAATCCTTATTTGGTCTGAACAAATATCAGCTGTATATCTGAGGATTTACAAATCTCACTATTATCTCAAGATCAAGGTCGACGGCTGATGTCAGATGTGTTTATCAAATAACTACCGTCCCATTTCCATGACTACATAATAATGTTTAGTAAATTTAACGCAAATAGATTTTCAAATTTGTCATTATCTTTTATTTTCATTCATATAATTTTTTCTACAAACTATGGTAACAAAAAATAAACAATAGACAAATGAAAATCAAATACTTAAAAGAGAGTGAGGCAAAGGAGATGGAGATTGGATGTATGTGTGTATATGTATCTACAGTATGGGGTAGCTGCACTCGCTGGCAATGCCACAGAAATTGCTGGGATTGCGCGCTAGTCGGAAGAATCCAGCCTCGCCCCAGTTCTGTGAATATGAGTTCTTGACAATCCAATAGTCACGTCCGTTTTCGCTGCCGTAGCCAACAACAGTGACGGAGTGATTGACCTCGTCATTGTTGCACTCCGGGTCGTCGTAAATGCCGGACTTGTATTGCTGGAAGGATACGGGGGATCCGTTCATGGAACAGGCCAGCGGACCCAGCGTGGCAATGATTTGCATCATTAAATCCTGATCGCCTGGCGGGATGCTCGCATAGTCGCGCACCTTGACTATGCTGTCACGTGGAGGTGCGCCAGCCGTCTCGTTCTGCCGGCAAACCATATTTTCGGACTGCTCGTACGGATACTTATTGGCCAGCGTAACTCCGTGATCTCGTATATACTCGAAGCCATAGTCCTGGAAGCCGCCGTCGCAGCCTTCGGTACCATAGGCGTCGGCGCAGTCCACCAGGTTCTGCTGCGACAGCGGCACGAGCACTCCCGTTCGCCGGAACAAGTGACCCTCGAGTGCACTTATCGTCGCAAACGCCCAGCACGAGCCGCACGGCCCCTGTGAGCCGGGCGGAGTAACGCCTCCCTTCTCACGCCAATCAAAAGATTCTGGCAGAGACTTTGACTGCATTCGGCCGGGCAAAAAGCTAATATGGGTTGCAATTAATTCCCTGGAATTAAGAGGAAAGTTGAAAGTGTGAATGTTTAATAGTGATGTGCGTATCTGTTAATGCTACTATATATCTATATATCCATATATCTATATATCTATATATCTATATATCTATATATCTATATATCTATATATC